CAGTCGCGTAGGTCCAGGCTATAATTTCCTTTACGCTTTCAGGAGTGGCCAGACGTATATGCTCGTATTTAGATATTTGCAAGAAGCGCCTATTTTGTGGAAACACCTGAGTTGGGGTGTCTGCCCACTTTTGGGGTCCCTACCTCGGTTCACGCTTGCTCGTGCTTTTCCACCCCTTACTTTTCACCCGTGAACTATTGGTGTCCAGATGCATGACGGGGGAGCTGGAGGTTCGGAGAAATTGCTCTTAGGGATGATGTGAGGAAAAGGTTAGTGGCTGGCACGGGGTGGTGGCGGTACTGGTATGGGATATGTATTAGGACTGTGTCCAGCAGCGCTATCATATCTGGGAAGTATCACCCCCCGCAAAACACTTTCCAACGCCTGCCTCGCAGTGATCGTAGGTGGACGGTGGTTTCTAATTTCTCCCACCTCCCCTCCGAAGCCAATCTCTTACCAAGCACCCATTCCAACGCTCCCACAGCACGACGCCGCATTCATCCACTCCTATCACCCCCCCCCCCCTCATCCCGTCCGAGTAATCAAGAAAGACCCAACTCAAATGGCGACAAAACAACCCCGATACCAGCTGGACGATGTTTCGTCCCATGGATCCTTCCATTCCCCATCGCTTCCTCCCTTCCCCAATCCTCGCACAGTTGTCGAAACATAGCGATAAACACTCATCTGATATGATACCCCTGCCCAAATACCGTAACACGCCCAAAACGTTCCCTCTATCCTAACGGCTATAACTATCTCCCCCACTACCGCAAAACCCCCTCGGTACCTTCCCCCTCCAAAAAGAAAGGGGGGGGGGAAAAAAAAACTCCCTCCCTCACCGATCCTCACTCGCACATTTGACCCTACAATGATGATACAAGATATCAAATTTATTCACCAAAAACATGTTCCCAATCACAGGTGCTGCCATATTTTTCCCTCAAACTAATCTTACAGCTCCTACTCGGTTTCCCAAATCTGGTTTTTGTAATATGGTTCAAACATCATATGCCGCAAGAAACATAAAAAATTCTGCCATGATATTTTGAGACACCAACACGTTTGCAGGATGGAGAGAATACCCATCATCATATATTCCTTAGCCGACCTGACAACCAGATGTAGAAACCACTGGTATGAGGTGATTGATTGATTCAAAAACCTGATAGTAGAGACCAGTGTTCATTATTTTCTGCCATTGACAAAACACGATATTGCCCAAGATTAGAAATATATATCGTGCAGGTAATTTTTTTCTTTCTTTCTTCCATATATTGTGACAGGGCCCCTCATTCTGACAGGTATGAGGCGTTCTCGACATTATTTCAGGAGCTATTACCCACTGTATAACTGTTTAAAAACATTCTTCTGTTATCTGATGCTTCGTTCAGGTGTTTATTCCACTCCTGTGCCGCGTCCTAGTGGGGACTAAGTTTAGTAGATTAGTAGATGTTATCGTTGCTCTTCTTGTTCTTGTTCCTCTTGTAAGACTTCTGTTGTTTCGTTAGTAGGGGTGTCCGGAGAAACTGGTGTGGTGGGCCCGGACTACCCCGACCACATCATGTTCGTAAATAGCTGGATTATCTCCTCACCGTCGTTCATCACTGGTCGCATAATCAATCTTCCATCTATCCGCTACCATACTCCCGCCGCGAGCCACCGCATATTGTTCCGTTTTTGCGCTCTCTGCGGGAGCTATTTCTGTTAATTAAGAGGAGAGGTGACTGGAACACCAATTCTCTGGTTGATTATAAAGACGACTTCTGCTACAAATACAGTATGTACCACTGGCACTGAACTCCCCCCGACCACCATAACCAATCAACCAACTCAAAACCACCTCTCTTTAAACCACCTATATATTACCGGGGTGCCGATTGTAGTAATCGCAAACCGCCACCAGTATAATACTACTACTACCACCGCAATCCTGAACGAATAAGAAAGAAAGAACTAAAAGAAAACAAACCCGCGTTAGGGTATGATATGATATATATGGATGTTTCCCTACACCACGCAGGAACGACTGCCGACAGCCCGAGACGTACAATGGGCGCCTGGAGAGCAGAGAATGTTGGATGCTCCTTTCGGGAGAAAAAATCTAAATAGTAGGTTGGGAAAACAAGTGGGTTTTGGAAAAAAAAAAATGGGGAGGAGTTCGGATAAGGGGAAAGCACGGAAACCAAACCGTGTGGTTTTTTTTTTGAACAAATGAGACCTGATGCAGAGGTGCCAGGAACGAAAAGAAGAGGCATATGAAATACTCACTCTCGGCAAGCAAATAAGGAAACAAACAAGCAGGCAAACAGGCAAACAGGCAAGCAAACAATCGATCACTCAAACAACCAACCAACCAATGGAACAGCCAAACAAGTCAGCAAGTCGCCTGCTTAGAAACAAAAAAAACTTCACCTACTTTAACCCTATTATCAAATGATCATGAACTCCCACAAAGAAGTTTCCCAACTATTCCCCGCCCTCAGCACAAACATTCTCCTTGTTGTCCCCATCCGTTCCATCAGCATCACCACCCTCATCCTCACTAGGAATATCATCATCCCCCAAAGCCGTAAGTACCAGCTTCGCCCTGCGATACTTGGGGTCATCCTCAGCGTCCACAGCCCCTAACTCCTCCCGGCGCGTCTTTGCAACCTCCTTAGCTTCGGTCAGCAGCCTATCCTTTGGTCCCTGCGCCGCCAACCCATTCACGTAAGCCCATAGAGCAGACTGTAAAACCTCTGCACTGAATTCCGACAAGTTCCAAATGTTGCGTATGATCCAGTTCTGCTTGGTCTTCGAGAACTTCCAGGAGGAGCGGGCTTGGTAATAGTTTAGGAGGTAGGCGATTTGCGGCTTTGTATTCTGTTGTTGGTTGCTGTGGTCTTCAGATAGGTTTGGGGAGTGTGAGAGAACCCCCTGCTGAGTGGTGGCTGTGGTAGCGGCGGGTGAGAAGGACTGTTGCTCCAGCAGTGCTGGATGGGGTTGTGGGGATACCGGTAGGCGCGGAATATTACTCCTGCCACCGGTACCTCCGGGGGAACGAATTGTGTTGGCGATTGAGTCACCGTCTGTGGACTTGGCGTCGTCAGCAAAGGTGACTGTCTTTGTGCGCGGGGTGGGAGTTTTATTGTTGGACTTCTTGAGGAGGGACTTTGGAGTCGTGACGGTTTTGATTGAGGGAGGAGTGGTATGGTGTTTTTCTGGCTGTGGTGGCGGTGATGGTGATGTGGTGCACTTCTTTTCCTGCTCTTTTACATCCTCCAAACTCGTCGCCTTCTTTCTCTTCTTGTCTTTCTCGCTGTTCTCCTCGTCTGGTGAACTCCTAGCATTGCGCTTCCTACCGTCCGATTGGTCGTCGGGCATTTCGTGATGAGATTGCGTTTGCGTTTGGTCCTTTTTCAATACCTTTCCTTTCTTATCTTTGTTACCCTTCTTTTTATCCTTCTCCTCTTCCTTCTTCTGCTTTAGTGCGGAGGTGCCGCAATCACTGGTTTTATTACTGTCAACGGGTTCACCTTCCAAACCCTTAGCGTGAGTATTTTCATCCAAAGACTCCTCCACCCTTGTAGTGACTTCCATAAAGGTCTCTTTTTTGCCCTTATCTTCGTTGTCCCCTTTAGACCCATTGTCCTTCTTCTTCTTCTTCTCCTTCTTCTTCTCCTTCTTTCTCCTCTTAGCTGTTCTGTTCGTCTCTGTGCTCCCATGGTTCTCCTCCTCCCCATGCTTGACACTCGTGACTTGCTCCTCCAATTCATCCGCTTTTCTCTTCACCGCAGATAGAGACGAAGGGCCCATCATTCTCAAACCCTGACGCTTTACATCAGTCGGAGCGTCTGGCCGTGCAGTCATTCTTGGATGAAAGGCGAGTTGGTCGGCTGCTGTATCGGCGTGAGCCCGTGGGGGAAAAGGAAAAAGGGAATTTGTTTAGAAGTAAGTTTTCCTTTCTCTTGCTCTCCAGTTGACACAGCAAGGTAGGAGAGGCTTGGCGTTGGCTTGGGCCCTTGTGGTGTCTCGGCAAAACCCAGCCCAACTGTGACAACCATTATGGTACGATCGGGGCCCTTCTGGTCGCGGGGGGAAACCAGCGCGGTTTATGGAGTTCTGCCAGTGCTTGTTTTTCTTTTTCCAAATCCCTCTCTTTGACCGTTTTCTCGAAAGCGAAACCTAAGGTAGTTTGATTCAGCGTTTAGTATCATGTCGAGAAATAATAATGCTCCAAAAATCCCACTTGATCCCTTCGGCGCTTTCCAGAACCAATGTGATTTTTCCGAGGCCTGAGGTGGTCAGTCCAGTGCAAAAGGGCAGGGAATGTTTTACCCTACATAATTCTCCCCAATTATTAAGCAATTAATGACCCTATACCCTAACACTTTGACCCTCACCTCAAAGTCACGACATCAAGTGGAGCCCCCACCCCCTATTATGCGCAGACTATAATACCGCTCTGTCAAAATAAGCAGTATGATATTACCATCAGTGTGCGTTCTCGAGTGAAGGGTTCAGACAGGAAACCACCATTGGTCATGAATAACCCGTGCCCGCTCTAGGCAAACAACTCAGCTCACCCCTCCTCGTTCCGAAGATGAAAATGCTCGAGCCACAGCTTAAGCACTATGATACGGTACAGAGAGAGATCCTGTTGCCTGCCATGCAACAGTTTCCTCCCGTGCCTTCTTAGGTTGCCTTAAAGTATAGTAGTCCGGTCCGATCATTGTCGCAGCGATGTACTGTACTTGTACTGTGCAAGTAGATCTCGACATCCCGACCTCCGACCACACAATACTGGTACCGCAAAATTTTATGCACACTTTCCATATAACCCTCCTGGGAAGGTTTTCAAAGTGGCTGTTCTGCTTCGTTTGGGAACCTCGACATTCGTGCAGCTATCAAATTTGTCCATCCAGCAATGGGTTCCCGCGCGTATAGGGGAAAAGCCAAGGTTGCAGATAGTGCAGATTCACAAGTGAGCCTCCATGTAAGGTAATTGTCAGGGCGAGGGTGCGAAGGGCCATATTGAGGGGCCCTCTCACCGCAAGTAGTCAATCTCTGCCGCATGTCTCATCCAAAGATGTTAGATGTTTGTTAGTACAGTACCCCCAATGCGCTGGAGTACGGTATATTTTTTTAATTAATAAAAGGTACGGGCTACTCAACTGTTGCAAGGCAACCACACTGTGCTTATTATATAAGTTACAACGACGGTTAGGCACTTGAACCGTCACCAAGGGAGGAGAATAACCGGCAACTGAAAACGTCCCCCTGTAGCGAGGGGAAAAACTTTCGTAGAAATTGCCCACTAAGCTAGGCCGTCGCTTCGTTTGTATGGCGGATCTCACGGGGAGAATTCTTGGCTCGAGGACGTTCTGGCTTTATCCTCCCATTCGGTGGAAGGAGGTCTCGACCGTGGTTTCTCCAATACAAACGAAAGGGATAGGTAGTCTAAGAAGAGCCTTTATGGCGAACAGCACCCATTAATCACAGAAACTTCACCGATAAGCTCTACCATCATCGTGCGTGTCCCTGCACCTAAAGGTAAGGAAATACACGGAGCAGCCATAGGACCAAATTAAACCTACTGCCTATTACAAGTACCAGTACCGAGAACCCCCCCCCCCCTTTGGCACATATAGTCGTCTAGTTATTATTTATTGGCGGCAATACTTTAACCTTGCGACCAATTCTCATACGGCAGAATAATCACAGATACCAGTAGGGCGCTCAGAGAAGATTTAGTACCCAAAGGTAGAAGAGGAGGGGGTTGTTGGAAATATCCAGACTGTTTAGCCTGGTGAGATTTCAGCAGTCTAAATCTACCGGTATGCATCATAAATTTATATATCCCACTAGACACCTTGCTATCCCCCACAAAGTATGATACGACCCTGGCAGTGAAAGAAATGTTCCCATCCCCCCTTCCCCCAAGATTTCCCACAGAAAAAAACGCCGGTTTCGAATACGCACCCATCCGGCGCGTTAAAGGGTGGGGAGCAAAGAGAAAAAAAGATATATTATTAGAAGGTTCCTGTTGACGGAATGTGGGCAAATAATCCCAGAGTTAGGAGCCAGGTGACAGGAAATTATTCCGAGTCTCCGAGAGTTTGAGCTCTGAAAAAGCGAAAGGTTGAAATCTATGCCAAGACCGCAAATTTCTATGGGGTTTTGAATAAGGGTAGCGACGGAGTGAGTCAGCGCACGTCAATCTTTATCAGCATGATACTTGGAGCGAGAATTAAAAATCTTACATGCTAAACTCTCCATCAACGCTCCTCGTGGGATCAGGACTCGGTGGGCGGGGGGTCATTTTGTGTCCATTTTTGGTAAAACAGTTAATTGGGGGCCAGCATTTTATACGGAAGGCATGGGAGCACAGCTGTTTCAAAGCTAGGATCACAACCCCGCTCCCACAATGGCTACCCCTAGCTTACTCATGCAAACTCCACCATCAGTCAGAAAGCATCAAAAAAAAAATTTACGAATGCAAACGCGAATACGAATTGGTACACCCCCCCCAATTCGCGCAATACCGGTACGTATGATACCACACCAGGCAATTCCCCCCCCCACCAATACACAACCCCTAACCCATAATCACAGCTCATCACTCGCCAATATGCGGTAGCCCGCCGTCACGGCAACTCCCTCTCCTCCAATCACACGTGCCCACCCACCTCCACCGCAGTGTAGCATGGCAGTCACCCATACCACGACCGGCCACGCAGAAAAGATTGTTACTTCCTGAAAATGGTGCATTAATCTCCCTCCCGCCCATCTTCCACCGTTATTCTTTCTCCGGGACTTCCACAAGAATGATAGAAGCGGCGTTTGTTTTTTCCTGGATCTGCTCGGGAAGGAAGTGGAGCTGTGCATTGTGTCATCTCGGTGAAGGAAAGGAAGGTTTGGATGACGGACGGACGGAGAAGTACCTTTGGATCCTCTGGTAGTGGAGAGATCGAGGAGCTAAGGAGAGAGGGTGATGATGGCGGGAGAGGTCGGAGGATGGTAAGTATCATGCCAATTGTGGGGAAAGGCGATAAGGGGAGGGGGCGGTTATCTTCGGTTGTTTTTATGTTATCGTTAGTGGTGCCGGGGTCGGAGAAATTTGGTGTTTAGTGTGGCTGTAAGGTAGGTAGGCTGGCCACGTTACGGTAGGACGCACTGATCGGCCACCCTTTCCTTCGAGGTATCATAATTATCATATCCCTTCTTTAAGCCAGCCCTCTTTCCTCTCCTACGGCCTTCTAAACGATGTCCACGACAAAACGCTTATCCTTCCAGGCAATTCATGTCATGTTCTATCATACCGCCTGGTCACCGAGTACACTACCACCAAACCAGAGTGAGCAAAACTGAGCAGCGCCCCATACACACTCACCTATGCCACATCTTCTCCTCTCCAGTAATGATAATAATAAAAACGATAAAAAGGAAAACCATCACCTCACGCGCTCAGCACAACACCCCCAAACGACCAAACATCCATCCGTCAGGTCGGCGAATACAATGACTGCAGAACATATATTCCAGCTATAGAATCATACCTACCCTCCCCCCTCCCTCTCTCCCCATCTCCCCCATCCGGAAGCTATATAGCTGCGAATACGTCGGTACCACATACATAGGATACCAATGACACAACGCTAGAGCACACCACACCATCCCCATCTCATCTCATCGAAAGCCCTACCTACCTGCCTACCTGCCTGCCTGCTTACATGCCTACCTACATTCCTACCTACAATACGTAGAGAACTGCCGCGTCGCGTTATACGAGACAACCCGGCCAAGCGATAATGAACGAATGCCCTCTGCCAAGTTAATATACTTATCACACCTTGCCAACCCCCCCCTTCCTCCCTCCTCCTCTTCCCTAGTCCCTCGTTATTCTGCGCTTCATCGCGGACTGGGGAAGATTTGTGAAACTACCTTCCTTGCTTCCTTACCTCCCTCCCTCCCTCATTTTTTTTTCTTTTTTCCCTTTCTTTTTTGGAAGAGATCAAAAAAAAAAACAATGAAACTTTGGACAATATTGGGCACTCTAAAAAGACAACTTTTTTTTTTTTTTTGCTCCTCTCTCGTAAAATGAAATATTCTGACAATCATGTCCCAACTCCCCAGCATTCATAATCGAGATTCCTCCTCACAATCAATGGTCAGCTGGTGGGGGAAGAGGATATTAAATTCACCATCCCCCGAGCAAATAGTATCATAACTTATCTCCCCAACAGCACCCCAATAAAAAAAAACGACCATTTTCCCTTCCCAATCGCGGAAATTCACAAGGAAAATTCAATGGACCCATTTCGACAGAACTTTAGGATAATACCATCAAGCACGCTAACCACGAATCGGCCGTCCCGTTCGATTAATTAGTTAATTAATCAATTGAGGACTCTTGGCACGAGGTGGTTTTCCTTTTTTTTTGGTCATGATTTTGATTCTGATTTATCCCAATATTAATTATTATTATTTTAATTTTTTTTTCGCATCTCGAGAAAATAAATAAATAAATAAATAAATAAATAAATAAATAAATAAATAAATAAATAAACAAATATTATGATACGAGCACCACCACCACTAACACCAGTCACGATAGAAAGCAACTCGTGAGAAGGATGGAAGGAAAGAAGGAAAGAAGGAAGGAAGGAAGGAAAAAAAAGAAATCCCTCCATCCCTACCCTACCCTACCGCACTTCCCCCCGACCGTTCGTCCGGTGGTTCAACGCTCGAGCGTTCCGGTATCGTATTATAATATCATATCTACGATACCATGACCTCCTCCGCGCTAACTTCCCTCACGGGGCTATGATATATACATCACACGCCTAACCCCTGGCCAGCCTAAACTTGTACTTGTACAGTACTCGTACCGCCACTACCGGATAATCCATTATCCTACTGTTAGCGCTGGCTGCCCAACTATTGTAACAGTTATTTCCTACTTTGGGCCATAGGGCACTTTGGGTGGTGTGTCCCCCTGTCGGGGGGGTTTTTTTCTTTTCTCTTCCAACCCTCGAGGAACACGAATAGCTGCTGGCGTGCCGGAATTATTTCCAGAGGAGTACTGTACATAAGGATTTAAGGAAAACATCAACACCTGGGCATGAATATATGTATTATTAAAATTTTTTAATTTTTATTTTCCCCATTCAAACAATCGATATAGCAGCTAGCAGCGCTATCCTAACAAATCAACACTTGGAAGCGAAAAGGTTTTTTTCCTTTTCATTCTATCATACCAAAAAAAAAAAAAAATCCTACCAACACGACTACCGCTACCCTATCACCTTATGACAAACTCGCTGACAGAACACGGCAAATCCCACTCACTTGGACTGAAAAAAAAAAAAAAAAAAAAAACACACATCTCACATAACCAGACATTCTCTCTCTACAAGTATGGGGTGTGGGTGTGCTTCGCCTTACGGCCGGATGAACCCGTTACAACAAATTTATTATTTATCATACTTATTATATGCTTGTGAGTGCGGTACGAGTACTGTACATTACTATTGTAGTTCCTTGCAGTATATACTTGTATATTATACTGGTGGTGTGCGCGGGCAGGGATGGGATACAATAATATGGATTGGAGGAGGAAGCTATGTTAACTTAACTTTAGACCTTTTGTTCTGATGCAGAGATCGACGGACGGACCATCTTAGCGGTAGTATTTTTTAGCGTGATGCATGCTTGGTGGGTAAGGGGAGTTTTATTTTTATTTTTTATTTTTAATTATAATAATAATTATTATTATGGTGCTACTATTATCATAATATCATACCCTGGGGGTGAGAATATGTATGATATCCAGGTGACCAAAACAAAATATATATATATATATATATATATATGGTCGCAATTGCTCTTCGCTGTCAAGACTTCCAAGTCTCTTGTTGGCGCGCCGGAAATGCTTTCCCCTGCCCTGAACACGCCTCAATCTATTGCATGTATGGTACTCGAGTAGGGTACTGCGGTACGGTATATTATCTGATTGATTGATGAGTGGATTGGCTGTGAATAGAGGGAGGGGGAAACGAAAGAAATCGTTCAGGGTTGTACTGTACAGTACTGTATCATACAGTGTAAAGAGGAACCTCAAAGGGCTGGTATCATAATATTATTATTATTATTATTGTGGAAGCACATTGCCAAAAACAAGAATAGTCAAAAAATATCATAACGATCATCCAGCACACTCCCAGCTGCGCCCACAACTTGAAGGGGACCACTAGAATACCATTGTATATATTTTCTACCTCTACTCTCCACCGAAAACGGTGGGGAAAAAAACCAACATTTCATCCATTAGAAATCACAATTCACACACAGACGAATCCCAAAGTCGTAACTCCCAAGCCTAATAATGAGAAAGAAGAAAAGTGAAGAAATTCCGCAGATCCCCGTTTCCCCAAGATGAAATGAAGATAAAGTTGAATAAGAATAGACAGACTGAAGTAATAAATAAATAAATATAAAAAACAATATTAACTCCCCGTTTTTCCGCATCCCTCATTGATCCGAACGTAAAATTTTTTTTTTCATAAACCTCGATAATAAGATATAGGTATGAAAACGGAGGCTCCTTTCCTCAAAAGTCAGCGAGCCAAAGTTTTGTATGATATGCTTTTGGGGGATAAAAAGGCGGGAGTAAATGGAAGGTAGGGAGAAGATGGAAGGAAAGGTATCATACTATCATAAATGGAAGCGGGTAACATAAAAGAACATGCGTGAAGCAAGCCCCCACAATCAGTGATCAAAATTTGTTTCGGAAAGGAAAGGGGAGGGGAGAGCGGCCATGAAGATGAAGTAGTGGAAAGTGAAGGCGAGATAAGAATGAAAGTCATAAATCAAAGCACAAAGTCATAATATCAGGGTTTAAACTCCCCGCTTGCAAATAACCCGGGAAATACCCATCCCAGACCAGACCAATTCAAACACCAGGTTTCCCATTTTCACGCCAGTAACACGTTCTCCCAGATGCCGTTAAACCACCCCAAAGGAAAGACACAGACTTAGACATAGAGAAATAAAATAAAAGTTGTGAAGTACAGGAACAAAGAAACTAAACCTTGTAGCTACATGGATCTATTTGGTAACGATGGCCGATGATAACTCTTCAATTAGACGTTAGTGGCAACTCTGATACATTCAAATACCTCATCAGCGCCCTTTCCGACTCGGGGCCTCCTAGGACCACTATCAAAGCCAAGCGAGACCTTACTCTTTTCAGGTCCCTTTCTGTTGCTCGATTCTGAAAACATCTCTCCAAAACAGAAGACCTCTGGACGTCTAAAATCGAATCTGTGGAGTGGCTCACCAGCAATGGCAGCGAGTTCTCTTGGGGTAAAGTTGCTTGGAGAAGGGGATCCGATTCCAGAGTTGCGATGAGTGAAGTTGGGCTGCTTTGGAGTGGTGACTGCGACTGGAAGTACGCGGGCGGAGCGACGAGGGGAAAGATTGTAAACAGCTTCACAGGTGTCCTGAGTTACAGATCCTCTAGCCCTTCGCCCTTTCCCAGTATGTGCAGGCTGGCAATCGTCAAACTCGGGAGTGGAGCGTCCAGTAGAAGAGATGCTCGGTGGTGGTGTGACTACCTGTTCAGGATGTGTCGGGCCATGGTATTCAGCAAGAGTAATACTGCTCCTACAGAAGTCACTTTGTGTCCTCCAATGACCGTTGGACACGCCCACATCTCCAGAGGACAAAGGAACTCCAAAGGGACCAGAAACTTCAGCCTTCTCCAACCTTCCACCGGTGTCTGTGGAAACCTGGTCCGGGATTATTTCTGCATGCGAGGACCCCTTCTTGCCCTTTCGATCTCCCTTCTTCGGTGGGATGTTTTTAGCCTTCTTGGAGCCCTTGGCACCTCCACCGTCATCTCCACCAGAGCTTCCACTTCCACCATCTGACCGTCTACGCTTCTTCCCAGCCTTACGTCCGGAAACTCCGCCGTCTTCTGCATCTTCCTGTTTGTCATTATCACCGGGATTTCCATTTCCCCCTTCGTCACCCCCACCTTCGGCCTCAACAAGGGGTGCAGCCATGCTCAAATCCACATTAGGGAGCAGCTCAACATCAGGAAACTTTCCACCATTCTCTTGGACCTCGAGCTCAATCTTCCCGAGGAGCAGGTAAATGTCATCGATGGTTTTCTCCATGCCAGTATACCTTATAATCCAGTTGCTTCCACCGCCAGCCGAGCTTCGACGTCTCGGAACAGTAGTGCTATTACGCCTACTATTCTCGCCGCTGGTTGGGCCACCGTCATTAGGCTCTGGGTCCTCGTCTGCAATGCCCTCTTCGTCATCTTCAGCCTCATCAGCGTCTTCGCCATTTTCACCCACTTCCCGGTTCATCCGAAGCTCCTCGCGCCTACGAACTTTAATAACCCAGTCTTTGACACCCCCCCAAAGTTGTAGCCGTTCGCACTGACGCTTCACCAATAAAACCTGCTGCCTCGCAAATCCTCTCGGGTTACGGTAGCGTGATCGCTGGTAATGTTTGCGGCAGTAATAAACCCACACATTTTTGGGAATTTGTCTGGTTGAGAGTTTGTTCCGACCAAAAATGTGTGATACAACCTTCCGGAGCGGGGATCCCGTGGTGCATACATTGCAATAGGAGCACTTCGGTGCCTCGTTCAGAAAACTCTGCGGTGATGGTGAAGGGATATTCAAAGGTCCGGTCCCCGGGGCTGCAGAAAGACCAATATCAGGAGAATTGGCGTCGGCTAATGTTGGCGTATGGGGCTCTGGCGTTGGCCTAAACAAAGGTGCACTTTCATGGCTCATGCTTGCATTATGACCTGTGAAGCAGGCCCCCGTATTTGCCTGAAAACTGTTATGAACAGCTTGGTCATCCTCTTCAATAGTCCTACCGGTCGAGGCTAAAGAACCAGCGGAAGGGGGTCTCAGCGCAGGACTAAAGGATTCCGCAACTGTTAGTGCGGATAGAAGCACCAAACGCAGAAGGGAAAACTCACTCAAGGTCCAAAAAGAGCGGTTTGTTGTCGGACGCCACCCCCCCTTCCCGGCCGGCCCCAGGGATCGGGGCCCGATTGGCCTGTTCCCTTGAAGCAATTGTAGTAGGGGCAGAATTACGCCTAATTGAGTCTTCTGCGAAGGACCCCCCACTTTGTCTGCGACCAGCCTCGGCAGCGGCCTCCATTTCAAGATTTTTGCGTCCGACAGGTGTGGCAGTCTCCATAGCAACTACCGCAAAATTCATTAACGCATTACTACGAACATGTTCGTGTGATTGCTGTGGGAAAAGGGGCTGAGGGTATTGCTGTGACTGTTGTGGAGATTGGCCCTGATAAAAGCCACGAGATGATGAAAAATAACTCATTTCTGTTCCATTTTGATGAGGGTAGTGGCCAGTTGAGTGTGGGGATAGCGGACCATCGCACGCAATCGAACCGGGGGGACCAGAGGGAACCATAGTGGTTAAAGGCGGCAATGTCCTCCCAGGAAAAGAAGAGCCTGTCCTAGAAGCTGTCTCCGTAGTTTCGTGTATCCGAGCGGAATGCCCTGACCTATCGTTGGCTGCTGCCGAGAGGGGAGGCATCGATGCTTCTAGGGGACTGGTAGCAGCGGTAGAAGAGTGCAACGAAGGTCCACTGTAAGAGCTGCGAGATGAGATGGTGCCCCGGGAGAGATTGGTGGGTTGCTGGAGGGGGGAATAGTGTGAAGGTAACTGAGACGCAGCAGGTTCAGCTCCAGATGTATTGTGAGAAACGTGGTGGAGCAGGAAGCCGGGGTCGGTGGGCGTGTGAATGGATTGAGGGGCCTTATACGTGGATGTATTTCCCAGATTTACGGTATGTGGGTCTGAGGATGGGCCCTCATTGAGAAGACTGTTAATTCTCATGGTAACGGACTTTTGGGGTAAAGAGTGTAGGTTGAAAAAGAGGAAGGCTTTTGACGTGGTAGAAAAGTCGTTAGGGTCGTTACTGGCAATCAAGAGAAATGGTTGGTTGGATGCTGCGTTTGCTCCAAGGGATTGTGATCGACGGGAGCTATGGAAGTGTCACGGAGGCAATGAGATGGTGGGTGAACGAGTAGAAGTTGTTGGATGGAAGATGGAAGGAGTCGAGAGAGATCTGTGGCTTATAAGAAGTGGTTATCGTGAAGACGCTGTATCCGCGGGGCAGCTGCGCAATCGAGGCTTCGTAAATAATAATTCAATTGTATCTCGCACGCCTTAGTGTCGCGGCGAGTGCCCGTCAGTTGAGAATTGAATTTCTGTCGAAGTGAGCCGAGCGACACTGTCTGCCCGTCTTTCCTGCCTTTCTCTCTCCCACACATACACTAGCCTCCAGTGCTCCAAACGCCGCCAATAGGTGTTTTTTTTTTTCTTTTTTCTTTTTCTTCTCCCCCGGCCGTCCGTCAGTAGGTATATTATCAGTCTCAGTCTGTCCGGCGGCCTAGCTTAGGGAATTCTAAGAATTCAGGCACGGGCAAGGGGATGAGAAAAGGTGTGAGCGATGACGGTAGGATTGGTGACACTGCGCACAACCAACCAAGGGCTAGATGCGGTAGTAACAGCAGAAGAGCAGCAGTGTAGGAGATTGAAGTCCCAGATAGTAAGTTAGGTCAGGTCACCTCCCCTCCCCGCAAAAAAAAAAAGATTATAGAGAGAAGGGATCGGGATCTTTCGTTGAGGGGGGGGATGGTTGTTCAGCTGATGTGGTGTCCCGTTTAGACTTACACGCAAAGGCACGGCTACTGCCCACAAATTCCTCTGAGGGATGATCGGACGACGGATGCTCGTTGCAGTAATTGAACAGGAGGGGTAGAATAAGGATACCGGGGGAGGAGGGGGGTGTGAATGAATGAGAATCGAGACACTAATGCGTGTGTGAACGAGAATAAAAAGGATAAAATAATAAGTAACAATAAAAATAAAATAAAAAGGTAGGGAAGTTGAGAATAAATAAATAAAAATAAAAAAAATACACCGGCAGTGAAGATTTGTAGGGTTTTTTTTCCCTTTCCCTTTCCCTTTCCAATTTTCCCTTTCCCTTTCTTTCTCTCACTTTCCGATCTCTTTGGGGGTGGTGTTCTTCTATTATCCCTATTCCTTGCTTTCCTTCTTTGCCTCCCTTCCTACCAGTATGCTCGCTGGTTTTCTCTCTCTCTCTCCCTCTCTCTTGAGTCTCGACTCCCTATTCCTGCTTCCCTTTATTTTATTCCCCTTCCCTATCCCCTCTCGGCGTTGCTGCTGCTGCTTCTGCTTTTACCTAGTCTTGCATACAACTCGACGCACAACACCGCTGCAAGCCAATGAAGTTCTCTAGATCCGCAATGACGGCCGAGTAACGGCGCCTCTGGCGATCTGAGCGAGTAAAGACCCTGTACTGTAGATGCCGCTGCTCTAACCAAGACTCCCGTCGCGCCCTGGAAATGACGGATGGAATTTTGGCTGGTGAGAGGGAGAGAGCACGACGGGCAGGATGCGGTAGTGCTGGTTGTTTGCTTTGGGGGGTGGTGGAGGGGAGGGAGGGGGTGGGAAGGATGGGATGGGCTCGTGCAGGGCAGCAGCCTTTCTGTCTGCAGTGCCAGCCTGAGAAAAATCAAGGGCCCAGTGTGTTTGCGACCGAAAACAACCCTGGATGTTGAATTACGCTAGTCGATAACAGGTTAAGCGCTGCGAGAAGCTTGGGAGTAGGGATGACGACTGGCTTCTTATGCGAGAAACATTGATTGTTATGCGGGGAAAAGGCCTAGGCACAAACTTCACTTCATTCATACCATATCAATTGCCCAACAGTATTCCAAGTATGCCGCTTCGTGAACATGAGAGACCGCTGGACACATTGTGGACCATCCAACGTTACAGTATGGCCCGCATTTCTGAAAGGAATCTCGACAGGAAAAGGGCAGCAAGTGAGGGGGTGGGAATCTCACCCTCACAGAGCAGGAAAAAAAAAAAATAGACACGGGCACCCTGAGAGGTTGCCGTGCTTGGCTGTCATATATCCCGAAGGTATGATGAGTGGGGTAGGGTTGTGTGGGAGCACTCTGTTTGAGAGGCTTCTCTGTGGCAGAAATGTACCGATGCGGTGACTATACTCGTACGGTACTGGTGCCATCAGAGTGCATGGCAGAATAGAAACATCGGATAGTGTATGATTTTTTTCGAGGAAAATGGCGGAATAAAATACTTTTTATGCACAAGCATACTGTGGAGTATCATATAAATTTATACAGATAAAAGATTAACATATTCCTGACAGACGGGCCACTTCGGGCCAGCCTTTAAGCCGCATTCTTTGACGCAATCACATAAACCCGGGTTGAAGTCCTGCTAGGGGCGCAGGGCGGATTGTCCCCGCTTCGCCGCCGCCGTAAGAGTGTCGTACGGTGCTTGTGCAATCGACACATTCACCACCACCGAGACCATCCACAGGTTAAAAATAATTAAAATAATTAAAATGAAACGGGGGGGGGGGGTGTTAGCTTTGGGCGGGGACGGATGCACCAAGGTTTGAGCTTCATTGGGGATTTTCATAACTCCGAAGGTTATCGGGGGTAGTTACTTTCACCATTCCCCGGGAAATACTTGGGGCTCCACCGCTTGGATACATAGGATGAACCAAAAGAGTCAAGCGGCCGTCGCTAGCTTTGTCTCCTAGAAGTTCTTCGGACCTGGTCTCCGTAGCACCGGTACTCGTACTGTAGGATTGTGATGGGAGGTTTTTCCGATCCTCTAAGCGATGTACAAGTAAACACTCTTTCGGATCAGGGGATAAAACCATTTCATCCCTTTGTTTGCTCGATGCTTCGTTCCAAGGTTGATGCTTGACATCCCATGCGACCTTAAAATAAGAAAGTAAAATAACAATAATAATAATAATAATAATACTTGAAATAAGAAAAAAATGGGAAAAAAGCCCCAGCCGTTTGTTTGAGGCTCTTTCTGAAGTTTTTGGCTGGCGCCTGTCGGAACTAGACCAATGGACGGAGCCCAAGGATTTTTATCTCAGCTTTTCATAGGTCAGCAAAATTTACCGACATGCGAGACCTTATCGAACCTCTCAATTATAGGTGTTTCGGCATGTCTCGAACTACCGCTGCTTGTAACTATTATTTTGCCCGAATGGATGGATGATCATTGAAACACTGTCCCACCAAGTCATCGCAAGGGAATGCTCTTCGAGTACCATACCGGTACCGGTGTACTGTACAAGTACAAGTATTGACGGTTGAAGAAAAAAAGGGTCTGCACCGCAAGAAACATCTATCGTACCGCTCAACGTTGGAGCATTTGATGTTCCTTGTCCAACGCATCTGGCAACTTGCGATATATCATATTATATTAGGAAAAAAAAAAAAATTTCGATTGATTGCCCGTCGAACTTTGCTAGTAAAACTTTCATGGCTGTCTTACTTCGAGGTTGTGAAAGGGAAGGAAGGACTCATGTCGCACCCCAAGGAAAACGGGTTGTAAAGGGATACCAAGCAGTGGGGGCAGTATATACTTTAGTTTCTTTAGTAATAATTACTGTAGGGATACCATTCTTTCCGAGAACATCGTCCCCCAAAGTTAGAAACGTCGCTTTCGATGCTTTTTTAAACCCTCCCATTCCTTTTTTCCATGAATAGCTGAGGACATCCTCGAGTGCAGAAGTACTATTATACCGTCCGGTGCTAATTGATGTTCGTCATAGTAGTCCGTCACTTTTTTTCTTTTTCCCCCTCCTGCTTTGGGTAATCATCGAGTGCGATACGAGATGGGATGAGAGTGTGACGGTGAGTGAAAACGAACGTTAACAAGTACTGCACAGTATAGTACTGTATGATACCTCTGATACTTGGTGTTTTCACTTTACCGACCAGCATTCCACCGAAAAAACTTAATAGCGCAGAGGGAGGGCTCCTTACATCCAACTCCCGACACTTTCGGTACTGCGCGTTTTTCCGGAGCAAGAGTCGACAAGAGGCATCGAATACATTGCGACGATCAAGATATTATTGCCATGTTGATCTCTTGTCGAGATCTTTAGAGTTGGCAAATATATGTACTCGAGTGTACAAGTATCTCGGGTAGAATATTCGTATATGATACAACGTTGCGCAAAGGTTTCATACAGATGCTAACCTCAGCTAGGATCGATGGATTCCGCAAAGGGCAGACAACCCAGACCTGTGTGCGGAACACATGACACGGCATCTCGAATCAGCTGCGGGTTCATAGCAAACTCCTCCCGCTCCCCTTTTCTGCCCGAGCAGGGCAAGGTAGGGAGAGGGAGAGGGAAAGGGAAAGAAATTACTCAGTCCTGCCTCAGATCGTGGCAGCGAGAGCTCTCCTCTCGGAATCCACGCCAAGATGAAAGAAATAAAAATCCGAAGAATCAGAAGAATCAGGACTCATGAAAGGGTTGCCAATGCACCGTACAAACCCCTTCCCCAAGAGCTCAAGCGTACCTTACAGTATGTTTTCTGTAGCGGGAAGCTGGAGAACATCTGGCAATGAACCAGATAAGGCTTCGGCACCAGGATCTATCGAATGCCAGTTCTCAAGAACATCCCTGGCGTGCATGCATAGTGTCTGACTTGAGTAGCGAGAAATGGGTTTCTCGACGCCTCTTAGCAGCCAACAATCTACCGGTACCACTGGTTCCAACGCGATGCACCCCCTATGGTGGCCATCAGCACTTGATAGGTTGATGACGGGTACACCCTTTCCCACCCCAGACCCTTCGAAATAGTGAAGGGGGGGGGGATCACTGCTAAGGGTGAAGAACAATCAGTCTCGTGATGGCTCCCAATGACACTTTTATAGCTCGAGCCGTCGAGATAAGAAACTTGCGGTGCCAAAAAAAAGAAAAATATTGCGTGTGTAATCGGCGCTTGTCATGGGAAGGGTTGTTATGAGCCATTTCCAATACTAATGATATTAGTCGACAGCGGTGTCTGAACACCTTTGTTTCTATCATACTCGAGCACCTAAAAAATGGTTCATCGTGGAAAAGGGTAGGTTTCGGAGAGAATATTGGTCTTTCAGGCTTTTTACCACAAGCAGCGCTCGAGGACCGTGTGCCGCGTTCTAGGCCAAGGCGCAATGGCGGACCACAGGTGCAATTTGAAAAAAATCTCCCTGTCATTGGGATAGCGTTTGATCCAGGTATTTCTATCCGCCTTCAAACCCGCTACGCTTTTCCTCGCCAACTTTCCTCCCAAGGGCTCATGCGGGGATGGAGAATGGTTGCGAGGATCTCTTGGCTCTGGCATGGATTGACATTGCGAAAGGAGTGATCCATGACATTCCCGCCGCTTTCCCCCGTCTCCGCCCCCCAAAACTCGAAAAAGTAAGTGGAATACAGAGCAC